GGAGTCTCCGCCCCGCGCCCGTGCGCACGCCCGTGGCGGGGTTGCAGGGCTGGGCGCGCGCCCCGCGTCCGGGGCAGGAAGATGGTGGCGAGCGCGCGGGTGCAGAAGCTGGTGCGGCGCTACAAGCTGGCGATCGCCACCGCGCTGGCCATCCTGCTGCTTCAAGGCCTGGTGGTGTGGAGCTTCAGCGGCCTGGAGGAGGACGAGCCGGGCGAGGTGCTCCGACGGCCGGGCGGGCAGGCGGGCAGGCCAGGCGCGGGGGTGCGAAGGGTCCTGTTGGGGCTGCAGGCGGCCCCGGCCAGGCTCGTGGGGCACCGGCGTCGAGCGTTGAGGGGCGCAGGCAGAGCCGCCGCGAGCCCGGCATCCGGCCCCTGGCTCTTCCTTCCCAGGCTGGCCTGGCAGGCTGGGCACGGAGGCGGTGCGTGACCCGGAGGCCTGGGCGGCGGGCAGACTGGGAGCCCAGGCGGGAGGTCGTGGTGGGGTGGTCTCCGGTCGGGGGAGCCATGAAGGTCAGGCGCGGGGATTAGGTCTGGAAGGTGGGGCCAGGCCCAAGCCTGCTGCGAGGCGGGGAGCCCCAGGCCAAACTTTCTGAAGTTGGGAGGGGGCGGGGGCGGTGTGCGCCGTGGGCGGAGGAGTGGGGCCCAGGGACCCGGAGCATCGGTGCCCAGCTGCACCTGAGAGGCAGCGACCGGTGGGGAAGTGGAAGTCAGGGGTAGAGTTAGGGCCTATGACAAAGTGCATACCCGGGAACAGTGGGAATAGAGAGTGACCCTGAGGGAGAAAGCAGGCATGTCCTCAAGGTGTGGCTTTCTCAGCCTTGGGTTGGAAGAACCTGAGCAGGTCTTCGGGAGGGGAAGTAGCTGATGAGTTGGGCTTGGGATATTTAGAAGTGTGGTAGATGGCTCTAAGGAAATGGGGACAGCGGCAGCTGCTTTAGCAGAGCCCCAGCCCCCCGCCCCAAGGGTCTTTCTCACTTGACTGGTGCCGTTTCAGCTGCAAATCCAGTCACAGGATCCCTCGTGTGACTAGGAAGGGTCCCGTGGGGTCTGAGTCCATCCTGGAAGGTGCAGAGGTTGGGCCAAACCATATCCCAAAGTTGTGGCAGAAATCAGGGCTTCCCCGCTCTCAAATGCCCGCTCTCAGAGCCTCCAGGGCTCTGGGCCAGAGGCTTGCTTGGCATGTCTTCCTGGGCTTCTCTACCTGGCAGGGTGAAAGCCAAGGGACCCTGGAGCTACCCTTGCTATGGGGGAGAAGCAAGAGGCTGGTGTGGTGAGGGAAGCAGGAAAGAGTCATGTGAGACCCTGGGAACTGAGGGGTTAAGACCCAAAAGAAGCTGAGGATGGCTGTGGAGGTGGCTGGTCTCTGTGACTTCTGAAGGGAAGAAGCTTGTTTTGTGTGGACCAGTGAGGAGGAGAGAGTTTCAGCCCCGAGTCTCTGAAAAGACTGGATATCTAAGATGGAATGGGCTGAAGAGGCACTTAGGCAGCCTTCAGACCCTGGTGGATGGGGGGTTGGGGGGGGCAGCATGTCAGAGCACTCAAGCCTGTTAGAAAGGCCCTGTGCTACATCAGTGGACTGAGTCTCTGCTGCCCTGTCCACAGCCTGAAAACTCAGGCAGCAGAGGGGGCAGGGATGCCTACCCCAGGCCCACCTGCTCCTCAGGCTTCCTAGCTGAGGTGAAAGGAATCCTGGACTAGGATAGGAAAAGATCCCCAGTGACCAAAAGATTGTGCAGTACTGGCAGCCACTGGAGCTTGGACCCCTCACCAGATTGGGGATTTTGCAAGGCCTTATAGTGTGCTTAGGAGGGCAAGGGCTGAAGCAGGAGCATCCTCTACATGTGCCTTTTTTTTTTTTTTTAATGTGCCAGGTTGGGCCTTGAACTCAGAACTTGGGCACTGTCCCTTAGTTTTTTCAACTCAAGGCTAGTGCTTTACCACTTGAGCCACAGCTTCACTTTGATTTATTGGTGGTTAACTGCAAATCTCGTCCAGGCTGGCTTCAAACCACAGTCCTCAAATCTCAGCCTCCAGAGTAGCTAAGATTAAAATGTGAGCCACTGGCACCTGACTGGGTATACCTTCTTCTTGGATGATTAAAAAAAAAACAAATAGAAAAGCTTCTGCCTGTGAGCACTTGCAGGAGTTCTTGGCACAGGCTAAGCTGTCAAATACATAACTCTTATTGTCTCAGCACTGAACATTCATTCAGTCAACAAATATTTATTAAGCCCTGTTTGTACCAGACAGTGTGGTAATACTGAGGGCAGGGAAGTAAAGAATGGATGAGGTCCTGGCCCTTGTGGAAAGACAGTCTATTGGGAGAGACAGTGAAGAGGAAACCCACCAGAATAACAAGGAGGCCAGTTTAGATCAGGAGATGGGAAATGGCCTCCTGCAGGAAGAGATGCAAAGGGGAGTTTGGGAAGAAGGCCCTAAGGAGAATGGGCTGAGGAATGGATAGGAGGGTGGGGCATTTTCCCAAAGATGGTTCCATTCTGCATGGGCAAAGGGAGCATAGCGCAGGGCTTGGATTTTACTCTAAGTGCAGTGGGAAGAGTGCACAGTGGGACCTAGCTTACATTTACAGCCAGCACTCTGCTGCTTGTGGAGAGGTGAAAGCAAGTACCTGGGATTATCACTAGCCTCCAAAGAGCCCCTTGATAGTTTTCAAAGCTTTCATAAACCATCTCTCATTGCTGTTTTAAAGGTAGTTTGTGAAGTGGGGGAAGGGGAGTGGGGCAGAGTATAGCATTTCTTTGTCCACTATCTCTGTGTCTCAGAGAAAGATTTCAGAGGTTCTTAGTATTCTGAAGTGGTGTAACACTTTTAACGCCTCCTTGCTGGGGCATAAGTGGGTAGGGAGGGGCTGAGGCCAGAATACATCAGGCGGAGGACCAGTGCTTACCTCAGTAATCAGAGGAGATTCTGACCCCAGAAGCTACTCAGGGCAGCTGCTCTAGGGACATAAGCCTCCGGCCCTTCTGGGGCTCTCTATTGACATGACTGGGAAGGATGGGTGGAACTTGCTCATTCTTCACTGCTGCCTTCTCGTCCTGGGCCTCCTCTGGGATTGTCCTTCTCAGGGTCAGCCAGCTCCCTGCTGCAGTGCAGGGCACCAACATGCCCGCCTCCTCCCACATCCTGTCCCCCACCACAGCCAGCCTGGCTCAGTGCCCTCCTGCCCTGCCCTCCTGACCAGCTTCCTGACTTGCTGAAACTGGCTTTGACCCCAAGAACCCACACCTCTCCGTCATCTCTATCTATGTAAGCTTGGGCCTGGCTTTCTCTGCTTGCTATAGGGCCAGGTTAGAAGCCACGAATACCCAGCTCAGTGGAGTTGCCCTCCCTTTCCCAGGGGCCTGCCCAGCCCAGGGTGCCCTCCCCTATGTAGGTATAGAACAGGTATCTATCTCCCAGATAAGGATAGACACCTTAGCTCTCACAGGATTCCTCTCAAGATATTAGAGGGATGGGCGGGTGCCAGGCACAGAGGGTCTAGATGCCAGGTTATTGGGGTAGGGCTCTGTCCTGAAGGTGGCTGTCATGTCCCTGCTAAGTTCTAGTGGGGGACTGAAGAGAAAGTCTTAGGGAGGTAAGGGGTAGGAAGAACTCACTTTGGGCTCTAGATTTGACTCCCTCCCTTCCCAGTAATAATAAGTTTTGTTGTTGGTGGTGGGGGTGGTGGCGGTGGTGGTGGTGATGTGTGTGTGTGTGTGTGTGTGTGTGTGTGTGTGTGTGCGCGCACATGCATGCATGTGTGCTAATGCTAGGACTTGAACTCAGGGCCTTAAGCTCTATCACCTTTCTTGCTTGCAGTTGGTGCTCTACCACTTGAGTCATGCCTCCAGTCCTGCGTGCATTCTTTCAACCAATACTGATTGTCTAATTCTCTGATACTTTCTCTCCTGAGCATTTCGAATATGCCAGCCAACAAAACAGCCAAAAATCACTGCTCTTATAGAGTCTGTTAAGGCATGAGGGACAGACTGAGAATAACAATACAAACAGTAGGATGGTAGAAAGTATTGTCATATTCCTGTGGGGGAAGATAAAGCAGAGGATTAAAGAGGGCTAGAGTTTTAAATACAGTGCCCAGGGCAGGCCTTACTGAGAAGCTGCCATCTGAGCAGAGAATTGAAGGAGGCAAGAAATCAATGATGTTCCAGACCTAGGGCACAGACAGTGTCAAGCTAGAGCCAGAAGCACCAGGGGAGATGGAGGGACACCAAGCAGGCCATTGTGACTGGAGGAGAATGAGGCCAAGGGGTCCATGGAAGATGCTGGAAGGGGCAGCTCAGTTTTTTCTTTTTCTTTTCTCTTTTTTTTTTTTCCTTTTTGCCAATCCTGGGCTTGAACTCAGGGCCTGGATGCTGTCCCTGAGCTTTTTTTGCTCAAGGCTAGCAACCCTACCTCTTGAGCCACAGCTGTACTTGTGTCTTTTTGGTGGTTAATTGGAGAGAAGAGTTTCACAGACTTTCCTGCCCAGGCTGGCTTCAAACTACAGTCCTCAGATCTTAGCTTCCTGAGTAGCTAGGATTTCAGGTGTGAGCCACCTGCACCTGGTGGTAGCCTGGTCTTAAGCGGGGAAGCTACAGCAGTTTAGAGCAGAGGAATAGTAGGGTGGGACTTAAATTGTAACAGGAACACTAATGGCTGTGTTGAGAAAAGACTGGGAGAACAGAGCTGGAGCAGGCACCAAAAAGGAGGAGAAGGAGAATGAAATGTGTCTGGTGGAATGAGTGGGCCACAGTAGAGGCATCTCCGTTTTCTTTAGGGTCTCTGCACCTTTCTCTTGGAATATGGGTGGGTGCTCATGGCTTAACTGCGCTGAAGGAGAAAGCATTATGTGAATCCAGAGCATAAAAAAGTTCAGTGTGGGACTGAGAATGTGGCTTAGTGGTAGAGTGTGTGCCTAGCATGCATGAAGCCCTGGGTTCAATTCCTCAGTATACATAAACAGAAAATGCCAGAAGTGCTGCTGTGGCTCAAATTGTAGAGTGCTTGCCTTGAGCTAAAGAAGCTCAGGGACAGTGCCTAGGCCTGAGTTCAAGCCCCAGGACTGCCACCCCCCCAAAAAAAAAGATAATAAAAAAGTTCAGTGTGGTATGATCTGAGAGCTTATGGGGAACGTGGGTGCAGTGGGGTGATGCAGGGAGGGCTGAGGCCATGCCACTATCTGATTCAGGGGCAGTACTATTTGCACAGAGTTCTCAGGCAAGCAGGACTTCATTCAGTTGAAGGGTAGGAAGAAGCATCTAGGTCGGAGGGTGCCCCTGGGCCAAAAAGGAAGTGAGCAACTGCCCCATGATCTTTGTCTGTGTATCTATTACAGAAAGGAAGGCAGAGGAAGCCACGGCCACTGGACCCTGGAGAGGGCTCCAAGGACACAGACAGTTCTGCGGGGCGCCGGGGCAGTGCAGGCAGAAGGCATGGACGTTGGCGGGGCCGCGCTGAGAGCCCAGGTGTACCTGTTGCCAAGGTGGTACGGGCAGTAACCACTCGGCACAGAGCCAGCCGGCGAATCCCACCTGCCCCGCCCCCAGAGGCCCCAGGCCGCCAGAACCTGAGTGGAGCAGCAGCTGGAGAGGCACTGGCTGCTGGCTTCCCACCACATGGAGATACAGGGAGCGTGGAGGGTGCTCCCCAGCCCACGGACAATGGCTTCACCCCTAAGTGTGAGATCGTGGGCAAGGATGCACTGTCTGCACTGGCCCGGGCCAGCACCAAGCAGTGTCAGCAGGAGATCGCCAATGTGGTGTGCCTGCACCAGGCTGGGAACCTCATGCCCAAGGCTGTGCCCCGGCACTGCCAGCTGGCTGGTGAGGGACAAGGGAACCCGAGTTCTTCCTGGGTGTGGAGGTGGGAGATGGCATGGTGCAGATCTTTACCCTCATTTTCCTCATCCTTGTGGTCCACCTTGTTGCCTAAGCTGGTATTAAGTGAATGAAATTGCAGAGAGGGATCTGGGACTCAAGGCTCCAACCCTGGGCTGCTGTTATTGGAAGCCAGGCAGCCCCTCCTCCCATCGCACCCCTGCTCTGTGGTCTCAGGTGGGCCTCACGATTGCTCCTGTTCATCCTCTCAGGGAAGATGAGTCCTGGCATCCAGTGGGAAGAGATCCGTGCCCAGCAGCCTGTGGAGGGCCCCCCTGTACGCATCGCCTATATGCTGGTCGTTCATGGCCGTGCCATCCGCCAGCTGAAGCGCCTCCTCAAGGCCGTCTATCATAAGCAGCACTTCTTTTATATCCATGTGGACAAGGTACTGTTGGTGGGAAAAGCCAAGGGGATGTGGGATGACTCTGAAGGTCACAGTAGCCAAGGTCTCTCTCATCTGGCACTGGTATCCTAGAGCCAGGGAAATAGACTCAGGCTGGTGGAGCATCAGGTGGCATGGCCCGTGAGACGCCAAGCCCTGTCTTTGCTGTCTCTGCTTCCTGGGCTGGGATGGGGAATTATAACCTGGGGCCTGGCTATGTATGGTGAGTATCCCCTCTTCCATAGCGCTCCGACTACCTGCACCGCGAAGTTGTAGAGCTGGCCAAACAGTACGATAACGTGCGGGTGACACCTTGGCGCATGGTCACCATCTGGGGTGGGGCCAGCCTTCTGAGGATGTACCTGCGGAGCATGCAGGACCTGCTGGAGGTACCTGGCTGGGCCTGGGACTTCTTCATCAACCTCAGTGCCACTGACTACCCAACCAGGTGTGGGGATGGGGCTCTGAACCCTCTGGGTGGGAGTGGGGCTTCATCTGGGAACTTGGGTTTAGTGGGCCCTAATGGGCTCTTTTACCTCCCCTAAGCCTCATTCTGGGATTCACACAGCCCTCTTGGCCCCAGCTATGTGTCAGTGCAGGGCTGGTAAAGGATGAGCCATGGATTGGGCACGGTAAGAGATGGGGGCAGGGCGGAGGGCCCAAAGGCCCATACCTGGGGTGCTGAGGCAGACAGGAGTGGAGGAAGGATCAAGTCTTCCTTGGGGCTCTCAGGTGCCACCGAGCCAGAGCACCAGCTAAGGGCACATGACGTCTGGAGAGCTCTCAGCAAGTAAGGCATGTCCAAGGGGCAGAGGTGAAAGTGTGCTAACAGGAGTCTACTCTGGGTCAATGACTGAGAAGCTGCCCTGAACACCTCTTCCCTCATCAGGACCAATGAAGAGTTGGTGGCATTCCTGTCCAAGAACCGGGACAAGAATTTCCTCAAGTCGCATGGTCGGGACAACTCCAGGTGAGGGAAGTGGGGAAAGAGGCCCAGGGCTTGTCATTACCCATCACAGATGGAGTAGTAATTGCCCTGTCAGTGAGCGCCTGGATCCTCCTCTGCCACCCACAGGTTCATCAAGAAGCAGGGACTGGACCGGCTATTCCATGAGTGTGACTCTCACATGTGGCGCCTGGGCGAGCGGCAGATCCCGGCGGGCATTGTGGTGGATGGTGGCTCCGACTGGTTCGTGCTGACACGCAGCTTTGTGGAGTACGTGGTGTACACAGATGACCCACTTGTGGCCCAGCTACGCCAGTTCTACACATACACACTGCTCCCAGCTGAGGTGGGTGACTGGGCAGGTATGAAAGCCGTGTGTGTGTGTGTGTGTGTGTGTGTGTAGGTATGAAAGCCGTGTGTGTGTGTGTGTGTGTGTGTGTGTGTGTGTCATCCGTGGCTCATCATCCTCTCCTGTCATTTTCAGTCCTTCTTCCACACGGTGCTGGAGAATAGCCCAGCCTGTGAGAGTCTCGTGGATAACAACCTGCGTGTCACCAACTGGAACCGCAAGCTGGGCTGCAAGTGCCAGTACAAGCACATTGTGGACTGGTGTGGCTGCTCTCCCAATGACTTCAAGCCACAGGACTTCCTCCGGCTACAGGTGTTTTTCCCAAGCCTCTCCAGCCCAGCTTTCCTCATGAGCAGGATGGGGCAGGGGCCACCTCAGTAAAGTACCCACTACCAAGCACAAGGCCCTGAGTAAGCCCCAGTACCACTACCATTACCAAAAAAAGAAAAAGGCAGGATGGGCATCTGCCTGGAGCACACTGGGGGCTGGGACTACAGCAATAGCTGGAGAATCCCTGGGAGGCTGAGTGCAGGCCCTGCTGAGAGGGGCCAGCCACTTGTCCTGCCTCCAGACCCTTTCACACACATATACACACACACACACACACCCTTTCCTTTCCCTCTCCAGCAAGTCTCCAGACCCACCTTCTTTGCTCGGAAGTTTGAGTCAACGGTGAATCAAGAAGTTCTGGAAATCTTGGACTTCCACCTGTATGGCAGCTACCCACCTGGCACCCCAGCCCTTAAGGCCTACTGGGAGAACATCTATGACATGGCGGATGGCCCCAGTGGGCTTAGTGACGTCATGCTGACTGCTTATACAGCCTTCGTACGCCTCAGCCTTCGCCATGCTGCCACAGTTGCACCCCCACAGGCTACCATACTCTGCAGGTAAGATGTCCTTCTGACACAGAAGTCCCCTTATCGGGAGGCAAATCAGGACAAGACAGCCCCCATCCCATAGGAATCCCCAGTCTGAGATAAGAGAAAAATGCAAGAAATACTACAGCTATGGCAACTAATAGTAATAGGAACAAAAAGGCAAAAGCCAGGCACAGAGGTGATGTGGAGTGTAAGATTTGGGGTCAAGAAGTGCCTGGGGACGGGACTCGCAGTGCCCCCTCCCTGGGACTCCAGGCTGAATCAGGTGTGCTGATGGCATCTCCCTTTCTCCCTGCTGGAACCTTCTTAGGTTTGAGCCCAGGGGTTTGCCGTCCAGTGTGCACCTGTATTTCTATGACGACCATTTCCAGGGCTACCTGGTGACGCAGGCCGTGCAGCCCTCAGCCCAGGGGCCAGCAGAGACGCTTGAGATGTGGGTGATGCCCCAGGGGTCACTGAAGCTGTTGGGGCGCAGTGACCAGGCCAGCCGGCTGCAGAGTTTGGAGGTGGGACAGGTCTTTCCCCTTTGCTTTCTTCTGACCCCTAGCAAGATGCAGGAAGTGGGAAGAGAGGGACAGACACCAAGGGAAGGGTAAGGACTTTGTCCCGCCTTTATGTGCGGGTCCACTGTGTTCTTCCTACCCAGGAGTGGCACATGCCCATGTCATCCCTGCATGTGTACACTGAGACGTCCTCCCACATGGAGGACCCAGAGGATGTTCAGTGAGTAGGGAGGGGATTTTTCAGTTCCATTACAAGCCCAAACTTATAATCTACAAGGATTCTAGAGACTTGGGCATCCCATTAGGCTATAAAGGTTGAGGGTGGGGGTCTCTTCCCCAAAAGCTTTGGCTTCATGATGGGATTGCCTGCCCTATTCTGGGCATCAGTACTGCAGAGAGAATAGGAGAGAGATTCAACTTCTAGTCTGACCCTCTCTCATTTGTAGCTGGGGAAAGTGAGGCCCAGAGGAGGCAGTGAGTAGCCTGCAGCAGAGTAGAGAGAATATTTCTTCCAGGCTCTTGCCCAACTGCTTCCTTCCCTACAGGTTGGCACTGAGTGGGACCCCAAAGAACGTCTTTTCCGGAACTTTGGGGGGCTTCTGGGACCACTGGATGAGCCTGTAGCCATGCAGCGCTGGGCGCGGGGCCCCAACCTCACAGCTACAGTGGTCTGGATTGACCCAACCTATGTAGTGGCCACATCATATGACATCACGGTAGATGCAGACACTGAGGTCACACAATACAAGCCCCCTCTGAGCCGGCCCCTGCGGCCAGGAGCCTGGACCGTACGGCTGCTTCAGTTCTGGGAACCTCTGAGTGAGACCCGCTTCCTCGTGCTGCCCTTGACTTTCAACCGAAAACTACCTCTCAGGAAAGGTAAGGATCTAGAGTCAGAAGTGTAACAGAATGGCATTTATCAAGAAGACCCCCAATCTCAGAGAAGAGTGAGGACTGGGGCCTTTGTCTTCTATCCCTAGCATGCTAGGGCCCTACAGTGTGGTAGAGTGGGAAGGAAGTTTTCTTCCCTCCCTCCCTCCTTCCTTCTGTTCCTTCCTTCCTTTATTCCTTCCTTCCATCGCTCCCTCCCTCCCTCCCTTCTTTTGCAGTGTTGGGGATGGAAATCAGCCTCATTGCTCTACTACATGAGCCATGTCCCAGTCCTTTTGTCTTTCAGATACTAACTTGGCCTCAGACTGCAGTCCTCCCTCCACCTCCCAAGTAGCAAAGATTTTAAGTGTATGCCCCCTGATCCGTACTGTTACCTTTTTTAAAGTGCCTTGAACCTACTGTTTGACTTAATCCTAAAGTTAGGAGTTAAGAGATTGCTACTTTTGTTTTATATAACTAACCATTTTATAGACACAGGATGTCTTTTTGATTAACCCAAGGTCACACCACAAGATAGGCTATAGTAGTGGTAGGGTTAGGATAGGAACTGGAGTTTCCAGCTTTGACTTTGGGAATCTAGCCTCCATGAGATACTTACTGCCTGCTCTCTACCCCTAGATGATGCTAGCTGGCTGCATGCAGGACCACCCCACAACGAGTACATGGAACAGAGTTTCCAGGGGCTGAGTGGCATCTTGAACTTGCCTCAGCCAGAACCTATGGAGGAGGCTGCCCGGCGGCACAAAGAGCTCACAGGTCCTGCACTCGAGACCTGGACAGATGGGGAAATGAGTGGTTTCTGGTCTGTGGCGGGACTATGTGCCATGGGCCCCTCCTCCTGTCCTTCCCTGGAGCCCTGCAGACTGACCAGCTGGAGCTCTCTGTCTCCTGACCCCAAATCAGAACTGGGGCCTGTCAAAGCGGATGGGCGACTCAGGTAGCAGGCCCCAACCAACACACCCGGAGGACCCGGGGAATTGCACCTTACAGACAATGGAGGGATGTCCTCTCCCACAGCCAGAACCAGAGGCCTAGGCAGTATACCCATTCAGCCATCAAGAGCCACACCCACAGCAGGGAAAGTGGGCGCACACTCACTACTGCTCATGGCTCTGCTAGGGACCAGAGCTTCAGTGGGAACTCCAGGAGGATGCTCCAGCAGCGCTCCACGCCGGCTCTTCCTCTCCCTCCTAATTTGTACTTGTTTTTTTATTTAAAATGGGTGGGGGGAGGAACTAGAAACAAAATATGTGCAATAAGGCTCAGAGCAGCCCCCAGGAAGGTGGTCATGGCTGCAGGGAGGAGGGCCTACTTCACCCATCTGCCTCTGCTCTGGGAAGGCTGGGCCTGTCTTGCTCTCTTGGGCCTGTGGTGCTCAGGGCTGTGGCTCTGCTGGTACAAGTGCCCTGCCAGGCTCAGGCCTAGAAACAAGTCATTTGGGGGCCAATGTAGAGCTGGGCTTTAATGGGACAGCCTCTCCTCTGGTAGCCAGGGGGCCCTAGAGCAGGGGTGGGGCTGGCTCTCAGGCTTTTCAACCCACCCTGCCCCATGCCAGGAAAAAGGTAAGGCATCCGAGCCTACTGAGACATGCAGTTTCCCAGGTACTCCTAGGTATGCCCTGCACAGGTGAGCCTCACAAGCAGTATAGGAAGACTGTTAGGGCGCTCAGAAGAACCTGGAGTTCGCATTGTGCCTGAAGTGTGGTGTGGAGTCTGAAATATGCAACAGAGGAAATATATCTCTATCTCTCTAAGCTGGGCCTCTTGTGTTTTTCTACCTGAGTGTTCGTGAACCATTGTTCCTTGGGGCTACATGGGAGTTTTGTGAGTTGGTTTTTAATGCTGGTACTGGGGCTTGAACTCAGGGCCTAGGCACTATCCCTATGCTTCTTTTGCTCAAGATAAGGACTCTACCACTTGAGCCACACTACCACTTTTGGCTTTTTCTGAGTAGTTTATTGGAGATAAAGAGTCTCACAGACTTTCCTGCCTGGGCTTAGTTTTGTACTGCAATCCTCAGATCTTAGCCTCCTAAATAGCTAGGATTACAGGCATGAGCCACTGGCGCCTGGTGGGTTTTACACTCTTGCTTGGCTTTTTTGCTCAAGGCTGGAGCTCTACCATATGAGCCATAGCTCTACTAGATTTTGCTAGTTAGTTGGAGATAAGAGTCTCTTGGGTTTTTCTGCTTAGGCTAGCTTTAAACTTCAGTCCTCATGTCAGCCTCCTGAGTTGCTAGGATTATAGGCCTGAGCACCCAGCCACCTAGGGATTTTCACTGGTACTATTTTGATAGAAAAACAAAGGCAAGCTGGGTGCCAGTGGCTCACGCCTGTAATCCTAGCTACTCAGGAAGCTGAGATTTGAGGGTCCAGGTTCAAAGCCGGCCTGGGCAAGAAAGCCAGTGAGACTCTTATCTCCAATAAACCATTAGAAAACCGGACGTGGTGCTGTAGCTCAAGTGGTAGATTGCTCCCCTTGAGCTAAAGAGCTCAGGGACAGCGCCCAGGCCCCACGACTAACAAAAAGAAAAAAAGCAAATGCAGAAACAGTTTAGAATCTATCCAGGAATCAGAAGGAATGGAAAACCTCTCAAGAACTGTGACCCTGCCACTGAGCCAGGTTGCTTCCTACCCCAGTCCCACCTTTGAGGTATCCCCAAGAATAGTGACTATCAGACATGGTCTGCTAGTTACCACCAGAACATGTATTTGTAAAGCAGGGATTAGAGCCCTAGTCACTCCTGGGACCTGGGAGAGGTAACCCTAAAATGTTTAGCACCTCTCCCTTTCTCAGATCCCTAGCTGCCTCAGAATTTGTTCTGTGTACCTACCTTACATGGTGTGGGAGCAAGAATGAGGTTTATAGATACCAAAAATTGCCCTATCAGCTAGACACTGGCTTCACTTCAGCTCAACTCAGTTCAGCTAGGGAATAAAAGGCTACCCCATCAAGATTTCCAAGTTGCCAGAAGAGGGAGCCCCTGACTTCCACTAACAGCACAAGGTGTTTCATAGCCATTGCTCAGATCTGGCTACCAGCCTCAATCCTCACAACCCTCAGAGGCAGGCACTTTTAAGATCTTTGTGTAGCTGATCAGAACACACATTAAGAGCTGTGATATGTTGGGGATGGTGACAGCATGTTTCAGAGGGAGGCAAGAGGAAGAGCCCCTCTCACTGAGCACTCCTCTCAGTGCATGGCTGAACATGTAGGCAGGAAGAACTAAGAGTACCCAAGTGTTTTGGTCCAGAAGTGAAGATGGTTATTTTTCCCCTCATTTAGTGAGTATTTGTGGTTGTACTCTAGTCTACAATGTTGAGGGTTTTGTTTCCCAACATCAACTTTTAGGTCAATAAAAAGAAAAAACTGAGCCAGATATTGGTGGTTTATGCCTGTAACTGTGGCTATTCAAGAGACCTGATTGTGGTTCGAAGCCAGCCTGAACAAGAAAGTTTGTGAGACTCTAATCTCCAACTAACCCTCTAAAAGCCAGAAGTGGGACTGGGGCTTAAGTAGTAGAATGCCAGCCCGGAGTAACAGACCAAGTTAAAGTCCCAATATTAGCATACACACACAATTCTTTTAAAATTACTAACTGGGTTCAGTGAATACCAGAACAGGTAGATTACTGGCCCAGAACTCACAAACCAGCAGTTACCCAAGCCATGGCTATGCTGTGTTAGGTACAGTGGTTCTGAGAGCACTGGTTTGCTAATTTAAATGGCTCACACTTTATCATCCCCTGCCATTCTTCATCGTATCAGATCCATACTGCTGTCACTTGCTGCAACTATTCCAAATTTATGTTCTTGTCTAGCCCATAGATTGCCCTTAGTCTGATTTTGTCAGCTGGAGGCTTCAACCTTGCCATAGTGTGTTTTTAAAGCTTCCTAGGTGATATTTGTTTGCTGACACGTAGAAGGGAGTATAGCCCCAGCCCCTCTACTCTGGCAAGCTTGTCTTGGCCTTACTATGGGGCTGGAAGCTTTGCAGGACCTGGGATCAGAGTCCTTGTCTCAAATTCAGAGGGAGGCTTCAGTAGGAAGCAAATCTGCAGGATGAGGTCCTCGGCACTGTCCTCTCCTGAGTTCACGTCACTGAGGCACTACTGTGAGAACTCCTGACATTGTTCTTGTTTCCTTCCTCTGTGGTTAGCTCAGCCTGCAGCCATAGGCTTTGAAGTTTCTCTGCAATCCCCCTGAAGTCAACACCAGAATTTGGGCCAGGCTGGAGATGGGATGTGAATGGGTTGCAGTACAGGCAGGCAGGCAGGCAGGCATCAGAGCTACATAATACTTGCCCTGGAGAGCCTGGGCTGAGGCTTTTGTATTTTGTTGCCCATGTGCTTGGTTTCTAGGGCAACCATTAGAGGTAGAATCAAGACCAAAGAACAGCCAATTGGCACCAAGAACTCAGTTACCTAGGCCAATGGGAAGTAAGTTAGAAGGCCATCTGAGACTGAGAACACAGATCGGAGCAGCTGGAACTCCCCTAGTTAGTGATCAGGCTTAACAGAAGCTGAGTCTGTTCCAGCCAAACCCTTTTCCTGGGGGTGGAAGAGAGGCCCTTGTGGCTGCCACGCACACAGGCTACAGGATACTAGGTCATAGCCTCGTATCAACCAGGACAAGCAGAACAGGAGGGGTGAAGAACCCAGAAAGCTGTACATGGCTGCCTGGCTCTAGAGGTGGTGGATACTCTGGACTGGGATTCCTGGGATGGATATGGTGCCAGTGAGAGGCTAGCCTGAAGTCTTCTGGCTGCCATCAAAGTCAATGTCCTTTCTTGGCCCTACTTCTCCATGTAATGAGCAAAAGCTTCCTGGCCATAGTTGCAGGCACTGGCCAGAACCCTACTGCCATTCCAAGCCACAGGGTTGGGGCAAAAGTGCTCTTGGTGTCTCACCGTGGGCTAGACAACCAGCCTCGTCAGTAAAGTCATCTAGAGCACATCTCTCCCAAGCCACTTGAGAAGAATGCTGTGTATGGGAGTTCAGTGACCCTGGAGTACCAAGATCTGCACTGCCCATCTTTTTTTTTTTTTTAATTGATCATAAGGCTTGAACTCAGGGCATGGGTGCTGTCCCTGAGCTTTGTGCTCTAGGCTGGCGCTGTACTTTAAGCCGCTTCCAGTTTTCCGGTGTTTATTGGAGATGAGTCTCACAGACTTTCCTGCCTGGAGTAGCATCAACCTGGGATACTCGGATCTCAGCCTCCTAAGTGGCTAGGATTACAGGCATGAGCCCTTGGCACCTGGCAGTATTGCCAGCTTTGAATAGCAGAAGGCTGGGTTCCAAATATTCTCATTTGGGCTTTTAAGTTCTCTCCTGCCACCTCAGGCCCATTCCATTCTGTCCTGGGGTGTCTGCTCCTTCCCTCCTCTAAGGTGTCCCTTTGTAAAGTATTCCTTATACATATAGCTCCTTTACTGGGCTAAAGCAGCTCTGCTCTATCCCAGGGAGTTGGTGCAGGAACAAAAGGGGGGTTGTCTGTGCAAGCCTTGGGCAAAAAAGCCAAGTGACAGCACCCAGGCCCCAAGTTCCATCCCTAGTACTGGCACAAGGAAAAATTAAGAATTCAGGAGAGATGAAGTGGTGATGGATTAAGGACACCTAGAGGGGCTTCTTGAAAGGGAGAAAGGAGGATGGGAACCTCCAGTCTTAGGCTCACAATGCCCTGGGTGGAAGATAGGTAAGGGTGCTGCATGATTCTGAGTCTAGGCCCCTTTGATACAGGAAATCCTAGAGGGATGAGGTATTACATGTGTGGCTGTCTAGGAATCACCAGCTGCCCTAATGGTGTCAGCTTGCCTGTCCTGCTCTGAGTGTTTCATAGAGGGCCCACAACAGAGTTGTCAGCTGATTGCACTACTTAAAGCTTTGGGCCTACAGAGGTGAAAGAACAGCCTTGGGTGCCCTGAAGAATAGAGCTTTTTCAATACAATGGCCCCATTAGAGCCCCCTAGACAGAACAAGCTAATGGCTACTAGTTGAGTTCCCTATGATTCAAGTGAAGGCCCCAATTTACCTCTTTGTATATAGGGAAAGTATAACCTAGCCTAGGAAGGCCTATTGGGCTCCTGCAAGGGGCTTTCCAAGAAGCCAATGGCTCCAGGAACTTCTTGTTTCCTATTGCTGGGGGAGAGGCTCTCTTATCTCTACAGCTGCCACCAAGCTATGAGACTGAAGTACTGCCTGGACCACTATCCAACCATCGCTTTACTCTCCCATTTCAGGAGCAGCCCTGCCCTGCTCAGAAAGACACTTAGGTAGGAGGGAGTAACCACTTGTCCTGCCCCTACCTCTCTTTCCTCAGGTGACTGGAAGAACCTCCACTCAGCTAAGCCTAAGCACCTGAGACCCTAAAGGCAAGACACCTAAGTGACCCCCACATATCCAAAGCCATGATTGCCAAGAATCTTCAGGAAAGACTCCAAGAGGGACATAGGCTTACGACACTGAAACGAGTGACATTTTCAAAATGGGCAGGAATCCCTGCCTGCAGGTAGAGCAGTCCTTAGAAGGACTGGAACTGAACACCAGCTTTGGGGTTTAATAAATCATAAATCAAGAGCCAGAAGCCAGGTGCTGGTAAATGACGCCTATAATAACAGCTTTTCAGGAGGTTGAAATCTGAGGATCACAGTTCAAAGTCAGCCCAGGCAGGAAAGTCTGTGAGACTTTTACTTCCAATAAATTACTCAGAAAAAGCTGGAAATAGTGCTGTGGCTCAAGTAGTAGAGCCTTGATCACAAAGAGGCTCCAGTGTAGCCTGAGTTCAAGCCCCCCAGGACCAGAAAAAAAAAAAAAAAGATCCAGAAAAGAAAGTAGGTTCAGTATGTCCAGTTGTTCAGGGGCTGGAAGAAGCCATTTACTTCTCAGCCATGGCTGAGGCAATTTGCTACCTCACCTGTGGAAAGCCCCTCATTTTCAATCAGATGGGTGCTACATGAGCCTGCTGCTTGAGCCTGCACAGGTGGGGGGTACCATGTAGTTATCCCTGCAGGTACAGCCTGCTCCCTCTGCATGTATCAGGTGAAGAACATAGGTGTGTTGCTTCCTCTATTGCCCCCTCCCCTGGACTTTTAGGGGATCCTTGAAGGAAGAAGCAATGACACTCTCCTCTTCCTTCCCTGTAGGGGACAGTGCCAGAGCAACCTCCTATACACAACCACTTCTCATTTCCTCACTGACAGGCCCCCTTCCCACTTTACCCCCTTGATGTACATAAGAGGATAAGACCCAACAAAGCAGTAGGCAGCCCATCTAGGTTTGTCCCCAAAGCACACTGGGGACTCCAGTCAGCTTTATTTGGCTTCAGACCTCCTAGGGTTTCCCTGCACTGCAGAGTCCCCCACAGCCACCATCTGGCAGACCTCTTCCTTGGAGGCCTTGGACTTCTCATGTTACTCTCTCCTGTCACCGGGACTCCAGTCTCTGTCCGAAGGCCCCAGAACTTCACAGCATGTCTACCAGTTTGAAGGTGCCCTCAGGTTTGGCAGGAACCACGTGGACAAAAGTCTTGTAGAGCACAGCACCCTTTGGTAGCCTGGTGACCATATCCACAGCCTCCAAATCATTGGGGTTGGGCACATACACCTCTTTAGTGTAGCGGACTATCCCTTCTTCCAGGGCATACAGGTACTTCTTCTTCCCCAGCCCTACCTGTAACACAGACCTGGTTAGCTGGAGAGACAAGTGGTCCATCCCAGAACCTCCAACTTTGTCCTCAGATGCAGGATCTGGGGCAGAAGGAGAGGTAGAGATCACCATCTCAGGTTCCTTTTCCCACTATTTGGCACTTCTTTGCTTCTACTTATTTACTAACTCCATAACAGAGAGAGAAAAAGAAAACAATCCAGGTGGCTGTTCTATCCCAGAGGGCTAATACTGTAGTCATGTCTCTGCAGCTGGTCAGAGCCACACTGGACAGCTTCTAAAACCAGGCACAGGAGGATGCTGCCAATTCATAGTCCCTAAGTCTAAAAGCATAAACATGCTTTTAGACTTAAAGCCAGGTTTACACACACCTGTAATCCCAGCACTAGGGATTTTTTTTTTCCAGTCGGTCTCAGGGCCTGGATGCTGGCCTTTATTCTGTTCAAGTCTAATGCTCTACCAATTTGAGCCAGAGCACCACTTCCAGTTTTCTGGTGGTTAATTGGAGATAAGAGTCTCACAGACTTTATTGCCCGAGCTGGCTCTGCACCGTGATCCTCAGAACTCAGCCTCTTGAGTGGCTAGGAAAACAGGCATGAGCCACTAGCACCCAGCTAGGGATTTTTTTGTTTTGTTTTTTCATCTACAAATGGGGACAATACTTTTTATAGGACCCTCTTAAAGATTAATAGCAATCTTCAAGATCTTAGAATACTACTTAGCTCAAAATTCGTTAGCTTATACTATTATTTCAGTAAATTTGGATCACATATCCAACGTCACATATATAATCAGTTTGTATCAAATTAGCTTCTTTGAAATAATTATAAATTAGTAGTCCTTCTTTATTAAAATTGCCAAAAAGTAGTTTGGACATGGTGAGTGCTATTTAATGAGAGCACTTGCCTGGCATGAGTGAAGGCTCTGGGTTTTTGATTCCAGTACAGAGAAAAAAATTACAGAGTGAGGGGGCGAAAACTGATTACAAAAGTGAAGGGTAGGTGTCTTTTGGAAGAAAAAAAACAAAACTAATACTGACTATGAAGAAGACAGTTCTGTTTGAACGAAGAACTTCTCTACCTTATGAAGAAATCTCTATCTTATAAAGCTTTACTTTTCTTTTTGTCGGTCATGGGGCTTGAACTCTGGGCTTGGGTGCTGTCCCTGAGCTCTTCAAGCACAAGGTCAGCACTCTACCATTTGAGCCACAACACCACTTCTGGTTTTCTGGTGGTTTATTAGATATAAGAGTCTCACAGGCTTTCCTGCTCGGGCTGGCTTTGAACCTCAACCCTCAGATCTCAGCCTCCTGTGTAGCTAGGATTATAGGCGTGAGCCACCAGCGCCCAGCTGAGCTCTAATTCTTAATTAAAAAAATTTTTTGAAGATAAGGTCTTGAGTAGGGATAGGAGGATGGGGGAGGACATAGGGGTGACACTAACAAAGGAGCATTATACTCATAACCTGACGTAGGGAATTAGCCCTCCTTTGTACAACTACTTAATAATTTTTTTAAAAAAGATAAAGTTAGCCAGGCATGGGTGGCTGATGCCTGTAATCCTAGCTACTCTAGAGGCTGAGATCTGAGGATCATGGTTCACCCCGGGCAGGAAAGTCCATGAGACTCATATCTCCAATAAACCACTCAGAAAACCAGAAGTAGCGCTGTGGCTCAAGAGGTAGAGCACTAGCCTTGAGCTGAAGAGCTGAGGGTCAGTGCCCAGGCCCAGAGTTCAAGTCCCATGACAAAAAATAAAATAAAATAAAAAAAGGTAAGGTTATGATACTATGTATGCTAGGCTGACTTTCTTTTGTTTCTTGTCAGTACTGGGATTTGAACTCAGGGCTTTGTGCTTGCTTGGCTGGAATTCTTTCACTTGAGCTATGCTTCTAGGTTGGCCCTAGCTGGCTTCTGTTATACTTCAGATCTTAGCCTCCTGAATAACTACAGGCATGAGCCACCAGGGTCCAGCTACACCTGGAATTCTTGATCCTTCAACCTCTGCCTCCCAAGTGTTGGGACTATAAGTATGAGCTACCATACCTGTATGGGTCTTACTTCTGATGCACACACAAAATTTTATTAACCTCAAGCTATCTTTCAACCAACTAAAAAAATTATGCAAAAGAAAAACTCTTAGAAATAATGAAAAGTAAGTATATTACAGTTATTTTCTCAAGACTCAAAAGAATTTCTGAAATTACATCTCATCCTCCAAGAACTGAGAGAAAGGAAAAGTAAAAACAGAAGGCTAACATTACACTAAAGGTAGAATATATATTAAAAAATATATTTTTATATATATTATATATATATACAGACAGACTAAAATCACTGTTTTTGTTGCTAATTTTAGAAGAATTTATTGCATTTTATTGCAATTTAATGCATTTTATTGCATTTAAATTCTAATAGAATTTAAAAATTCCTTTTGAGTTATAAAAAGGGAAATGCTGGCCAAGTACTAGTGGCTCACATCTGTAATCCTAGCTACTCAGAAGCTTAGACCTGAGGACTGCAGTTCAAAACCAGCCAGGGCAAAGAAGTCTAAGAGACTCTTACCCCCAATTGACTATCAAAAAGAAGCAGAGCTGTGGCTCAAGGGCTAGAATGCTATCTTGAGCAAAAAAGAAGCTCAGGGACAATTAAAAAAAAAAGAGGGGAGGATGCTTATTTTATTAAAATTATTGATTAGCTGGGTGTCAGTGACTTATGCCTATAATCCTATCTACTCAGGAGGCTGAGATCTGAAAACTGTGGCTCAAAGCCAGCACAAGTAAACAAATCTGACAAAATGGATTAATAAAAACACTAAAAAATACATTGCATTTTGGTAGTTCACTCTAACTTCAACATATTGCTTCTTGGGCTGGGAAGGTGGCTCAGTGGTAGAGCGCTTGCCTTGCATGCCTGAGGCCCTGGGTTCGATTCCTTAGCACCACATAAGCAAAAAGAAAAAAGCCGAAAGTGACACTGTGGCTCAAGTGGTAGAGCACTAGCCTTGAGCTGAAGAGCTGAGGGACAGTGCCCAGGCCCAGAGTCAGGCCCCATGACTGGACCCAAAAAAAAACAAAAACATATTGCTTCTTAATCCTCAAGCAGCTGCATTTGCCCCACATGTACATTATTCAACCTACCTCCATTTCCCAATGAAGAGAAAAATGGTCATACGATGTGCAATGATCTAAATCTCAGCTATTATTTTGGCCCTGCAACTCTCTTAAGTCTCTAGTGTTTTACCTGTGAAGTGCAGATGACACCTCACAGGGATGTGGTAATGAGATAGAGCAGAAATAGCATTTAGCACAATGCTTGGCATATGGTAATCACCTAATAACTGCAACTGTTTCTATTATTACTATGCTTAAAAGTATGAAAAGGTTGTCCTAGAAAAGAGACAAGGGGGGTCACAGAGCAACTCACATGAGCACCTGGGTGCCAGCGGAAATGGCGCTGAGTCCCAATGATATTGCCAGCATGAACATAGTGACCTAGAAGAGAAAATCACAGGTATGCTGAGCCCAGATTATAGCTACACAGCCTACTGCTAAGAAAACATGTCCAAATGTTAAGAAAACATGTCCAAATGCCACATACAACCTCTAGGCCTGCTCCTGGTCAATAACAATTCTGTGATTGTGTAACACAAGCAACACCTCAATCTCATCGAGGACCTCTTCCCTAACTATGGCTCACTCCTCCTCAGGCACTCTCATACCTCTCGGGGCTTAATGCCTCTTCAATGTAGAGCCAGGTACTACATGGAGAAACCAGCCCAGGTACACTTTCATTGTTCTCTAGCTCTTCTAAGAAACAGTAGGGGCAGGTCTGGGAATATGGCTTAGTGGTAGAGTG